TCCATCTGTAACATCTTTTAATATTGTTCTCAAAAATATAGGCTCTAGAAGCAGCAGGAATGTTAATTTGGGTATTCCATTGTTGTAATAGGTCACGACCCCATAAATTCACTGCAATATTGGCTACATATGGCCTTAGTTTTCCTATTTGTCCTTCTAGCCCTATGCAGTCAACCCATCTCGTGTTTTGCCTTTCTCAAGATAGGGTTCCATTTCCCAGGAACTGAACATTTACATCCTGAAGAGGCCAATATGGATACCAAGATTCAGGAGTAATGATACTTACATCTGCACCTGTGTCCAGCAGGCCAGTAATAAAAATGCCATTTACACATACTCTTAGTTTTGGTCTTTGATCACTTATAGAAGTTTGCCAAAATACAAGCAACTCATCCTTGAGGCCATTATTGCTTGTAACTGTAGGCATGGGGCTTCCTAATTTTCCTGGCGAGACACATTCTCTGCAGTAACCAGAAATGACTGAATCACATTTGCCATGGGGGCCTGCAAGGCACCCCCCTCACATTTCCCGTGTGTAACAGGTTCCCTTTTCTATCTCTTGTTGACCTGCACTCATTCGTCCAATGTCTGCCTTCCCCACATCTCCTACATAAACCTTCTGTTTCTGTTATTTCTAGAAGATGCATTATCAGTATTTCTGGAAATCTGTTGTCTACAATTCCTTTTCATATGACCCATTTTGCCACAATTAAAACATTTGGTATTTTGATGCTTTCTTTTACCATTGGAAATTGCTTCTTCTACCCATGTTTCAGTGCCATAGTTAAATGTGTCAACATTCAGTGTATGCAAGACCCATTCATCCAAGGGCACTGATCTGATCTTTAAAGGCCCCAAGATCCTTTTGCACTCCACATTTGCATTTTCATAAGCCAAAGACTCAATTATTATACGCCTTGCTTCTGGGTCAGATATCCCTATTTGTACAGCTTTAGTTAGTGTTTGTAAAAAGTCACTAAAGGATTCTCTCTGGCCCTGATTAACTCTGATATATGATTCCATTCTCTGTCCTGGGTCTTGAACACTGTCCCAAACCTTTAAGGCTGCCAGTACATATGGATAGGGTGTGTTCATCATAATTGGCTTGTTCCTGAGGGTCAGAAAAGAGCCCTTCATCTAGAATTTGATCTAGGGAAATCTCAATTCCCTTGGCTCTTTCCTGCTGTTCTAAAAGTCTAGCCTCTTGCCTGAATAAGCATTTCCAATTCAATTGCAGTCCACTCTCTAGGATGGCTGAAACCAATTGAACCCAATCGCGTGGAGTGACCTTGTTGCTTCAAGACCACGTTTTTAGCATCTCTTTAATGAAGGAGAAGTGTAGCCCAAAACTCATAACAGCCTGTTTTATTTCTTTCAGATCATTCATAAGGACGGGTTCCCATGTATGTTCCTTGACGACCCTAGGGTTTCTGGAACCAGTCACTTTCTCTGTTGTTATTACTGGAAAGGCATTTAGAGCTTTAGGTAGAGCTTTGTGGGAATTATCCCAGAGAGTTTTACTCACTGATGGAGTTAAAATTTGCCTTTCCACCATCTGCTCCTATTTATCAGAATTTAGAATTTCCTCAATCTTTTCAAATCTGTTTACCATTGCCTTCTGCAAGGCCTGAATCTCCTGTCCAGAATTATGCTCCAAAGCCTTCATTGAAGATTCTAAGGGATGATGTTTGTCCATTAGAGATAATATATCATCTTTGGATAAAATTTTCATGGCATGAATTGTGCCTTCTTGTATTGATAATCTGTCAGCCAATCTGTCATATTCTTTAGACAAAATCTGATTGTCAAATTCAGCAGTTTTAATTCTCTCAGTTAATGTTTCAGATCCTACAGTTAGGGACTGAAGTTTACGGTCCAGATCAGCTGTTCCCTCCTCCATAGTAGTGATTCTTTCCTTAATATCAGACTGTACTTTTTCTAAATTTTGCTCATTTGACAGAGTCATGTTAGACTCTGACAATGATTGAGGAAAAAAGTTCTCTTCCTTGAGAACCTCAACCTCTTTCTTGAGGAGGTTGTTGTCAGTCTGAATTGTTTTTAATCATTCAACCTCTGCCCTAAGAATCCTGGACTCATCTTGTAAGAACATTTTCATTTTTTCTATTACCAAACCATATAGTACCAAGAAACATGACCAACCCCAGAATTAACCATAGATGTGGTGTGTCAGACACCTACCTCTTGTAAAATCTCCCACATGATGTAGTCAAAAAAGCAGTGGAAACCTTGAACGGTGACGTTTTCAGACATTTTCCTTATTTATTTTTTGATAATTTTTTTTTTACCTGTAATGACCGTTGCCTGCCAGTAGGTGATGGGGTGCATCTGAGTCCACGTGGCCAGGAAGTCAGAGCCGGTGAAGCAGACCAGCAGAGAAGGGAGCTGTGTGCCTGGCAATTGGGCAGGATGATCGTCTGGCGAAAGCATGGTGAAGTTGAAAGGGCACTGTGTGCACGAGCCGGGAGCCGCGGCTGAGGCTGGGGCAGCAAGGGAGGCCTCAGCACCATGGCCACTCTCAGAGGCGGGGGCAGATATCCACAAAAAAGTCATACGTTCGGGTGCCATAATGTTATGACGTAAATGAACGGCAGACAGAATTTATTATAAAATATTCAGCTTTAATAAGTGGAGGAGTTACATAACCAAGTTTCCAGCAGAGAGCAGGAAAACAGAAGGTGCGGCGGGAGCACATCTGCAATCTTTATAAGTAAATAACAACTTCAGGGGATCCCGCCCTTCAAGCAAGGTGATTGGCTGGGCTTCCCCTACAAACTTCATGTTTAGAATATGCGTCAGCTGTTTTTTAGCTATAGAAAATAAACACTCCTAAATTGAAACATTTTTACCAAGAGGAAAATGGATTTGTTTTTAGTTAATCAGGACTATCCTACAGATCTGAAAACCATAGAAAGGTGACATTGAGACTCACAAATATAAAGGAATCCTGACTTTTACCTGGATAATTCTTTTAAAAAGATAAAAAATGTATTACATAAGAGCCATAAATAGTGAAATCTGCTTATATTAAAAAAATAGGCTAAGCTTTGTCTGGACATTATTTCCTTGCAAGAGCAGTGCATATTCTTTGTAAACAACTACCTAATTTACAATTTCATTCCCTTGACACTTAGGTAGAAATGATAGCCAGAGGAAAACATGTAAGAATGAACTTTGAAATAATCTGTACTGCTAAGGTGGTATCAGTGAGGGTAAGCAGATTTGGGTAAAGCAGTTTCTAGAATCTCGGACTAGTCTGGGTAGTTAGCTCATTTGGTGAAAGGCCAGGAATGTGCCTGCTCAATCCAGCTTCTCTTCTCGCCTAGCAGCTTTCTCTGGGGAACCAACAAGGCTAATCTTAACCCCAATCAGTCCTAAAAGAAAAAAAAGGCAAGAGTCCTGGGGTTATCACATTCTAGTCTTACCACTAAAAGAGAACAATTAATGTGTGTGTCCATAGATGTGAGCTGGCCATCTCATCTTCACATATGGGCAACACAACTAGAATTTGAATTTCAAATTACCCAACATGCCTCACTGTCCATAAAAGATAATATCTTAATTTATGAACATGTCTTTTAAATGTGGCATGTTGGATCTGCTAGGTACAGCAATGAAATATTGACAAGTGTGCACTATTACCTTACATGATAAATCTCGAAAACAAGCAAATCCGAGATTTTTCCAAAAGCACACCCATCTGTACCAACTAAAATCCCTACTTTAAAATTGGTTTAGAAGTCTCTTTCCTCCACCTTCTGTTTTTGAGCAGCAGATTGTAAAAACATCAATTTAACTTGTGCTAGGTGGTAGCGGTTTGTTTTTTTTTTAAACAAAAGACAGCTCTGCCAAATTTGTGGATCTTCTGCTTCATCTATTTGAGTTGAATACTGGGTCCAGCTGCTTTGGCTGTCATTGTAGGAAACCAGTTCATACCTATATCACTGTCATCATGAAAATGGTCCATTCTCCAGAACAGTGCTCTTACCCTCTATCACTTCCTGTCAAAATCCAAGTTAAAATCCATGGTTTCCATTGGGTTTTAGGACAGTTTGATTCTATATGGTCCTTTCCTTTCCATGTCACAGTAGCTGTTCTCAAATATATTAAATATAGATATGTTGTGCTCTCATCACCCACACACTTACAAAAGCAGCTTCACACTTTGTTTGGTGTCTTTGTTTTACTATCACAGCTCACAAAAGCCGTTCTCATTTCTAAGCACAATACGTTACAATTTTGAGTGCGTTAATACAACAGTACATTGGAAAAGTACTGAGCCTCTACAAAATAGCTTTATGTTTTGAAAAAAACAAATGCGAATTTTTACTTACACAAGCATAGGCTTTTTAATATTTCCACAAGATAAATATCTCAGTGAAATCTATGTTCACTCTATTGTGTGCCACAGTGATGGGCTTAGGACTGTTAATACACTTAGAAGATCCTAACTGTTTAGTGCTATTTACATTGGTATGTTCATCATCCCCTAATCTGGAAGGTGAACAAACAATACTCAGAATGTGACTGAATTTGCGTTAATAATTGGGCATGGTATAGTTTTAATTAATCACTTACTAAACACATAATGAAACTTAATCTTGAGTGGAAATTTTCTTCATGCCCCTCTTATAGCTTGGGAAATCTAAAAAGAGCTCAGTGTGATAAAGGAGCCCCTGCTAAGGCAGATCTTGTGGTAACAAAGGGAAAATGACAAGTGTACATGGGTAAATTATCAGTAACAGGTTAGCAATTATCTGGTACTGAAATCAAACACTGAAGTCCTAAAACATTACGTCTGAAATATTCTTTCTATCCTCAAAGAGAAACTAGAGAAAAGACACGATTCCCTAGGAAAGTGATGACTCGATTCAGGTTGTGACTTTATATTTAAGCACTGCTCAAAAACATGGAGATAAAGCAAGTGATTTCTGTTTGAACGTCACTATTCCAGCTACACAGCTTTGAGAGTTCTGTTCTCATTACACCACCCTTTCTCTGCTCCCAGAAGATAAGACGGCCCTGCGACAAATGGGACAGGTGGTATTCTCCGATAACCAGCAGTCGATGCAGTGGACGTGGTACTCATGGGAGCAAGGTAGCTCACGAAGTTTGTCACCTTCCGTATATTCTGTAATGCAAATACTACATGTCTTCAATGCACCATTTTCACCAAAACTTCTCATTGCCAAGTTATTAATCTGTTCTTTGGTGAGTCCTCTAGGTTGGTGGTTGTCGTTAGAGGGGTCAAGTCGGGCTCCTTCATTACCTCCTTCAAACATGTTTGAGCTAATTTCTGAACTTTCACCATTGGAACTGGAGCCAGAGTTAGAGCTGGAGCCAGAAGCAGAGCTGTTACCACCAGAGCTCCCTCTTCCACTCCATGGAAGCTCACCAAAACGTGTCGTTCTCTGCCTTAACGTGGTGTGAATCGGAACAGATGTAGTTTCCCTTGATCCAGGATTGAAGATTGTAAGAGTGGAAAACCCGTCAGTACTCACATAGGTTCTCCCACCTGCACGTTCAGAAAGTGTAAAGGTGCGTATAAAACCTCCACGTTCACTTTCATAAGTGACCGGGTTGTTTGGGGTCTGAGACCTTGACCGAGTTCTGCTAGCAATGCTCTCTCTCTGCCGGTATTCTCCCAGCAGAACTCTTGTTCTGACTTGAAGGTCTATGATTGGAGGTCTTTGACCAGATCCTGCTGCTTCACCAGTGGTACCCGTGTCAGAAGAACTTGTCCCTTGAGCGGCAGAATTTCTTGACCCAGAAGCCGCAAAAAGACCTCTACCTAGCAACTCAGGTCCAGTTATCTGCTGTCTCAAAGTCCCATGGCGAGGGGCTCTAGAACTTCCCTCGATTTCGTTTACCAAAGGGTGCTGAAAAGTCTCAGATGAAATGCTATGATGAGATCTTCGTGGAATTTCATTTGCTGGGTGCAGAGACCTACTTCTTTCAGCTCTGACTCTGATTCTTCGCCGGTGTTCTGGTTTCGGGCTTCTTGCCCTCCTCCGACCTCTGGTGGAAGGCACTTCTGTTAATGATTCAGCAGAACTGCGTTCTGACCTAGGTGTTCTGGCAGATGATGTCTCAGGTGCTGAATTTTCCATTTGCCTTTGGCTGCTGCTGTCCATGTTTTCTACACTAAGACATGTAGCAGATGGTTCATTTTCATTCTCTGGGATTTGGCTTACATTATGATGGTTACCATTTGTCTCTAAACTGAATCTGAAATCACCACTGTTTGGATTAGTCTGGCTCACTGCCCCCAAGGACTGTTTTCCTCTCTGACCACTTCTTGCTGTATCGGCAGTCTGTCTGCCAGAGTTAGGCCAATCTATTATGGAGTCACCATTGGACATGTTATCTGAAGAGTCTCAGCATCTATTTTCTTCTGAGCTCTGCTGTGGCGGCTTCCCCGCTTTAATTTGCTGTAAAATTTGTATAGTAAAAATGGCAATTCTACCAAAAGCAGTCTGTAGATTCAATGCAATCCCCATCAAAATCCCAACTAAATTCTTCACAGAACTTGAGAGAACAATAATCAACTTTATATGGAAAAACAAAAAACCCAGGATAGCCAAAACAATCCTATACAATAAAGGAACTTTCGGACACATTACCATCCCTGCCTCCTAACTCTATTACAGAGCTACAGTAATGAAAACAGCTTGGTGTTGGCATAAAAACAGAGATATTGACCAATGGAATTGAATTGAAGACCCAGATATTAATCCACAAACCTATGAACACCTGATTTTCGACAAAGGAGCAAAAATTACACAATGGAAGAAAGAAAGCATCTTTAACAAATGGTGCTGGCATAACTGGATGTCAACCTATAGAAGAATGAAAATAGATCCACATCTATCACCATGCACAAAACTCAAGTCCAAACGGTGTATAGACCTCAATATTAATCTGTCCACACTGAACCTGATAGAAGAGAAAATGGGAAGAAGTCTGCAACATATGGGCACAGGAGACGACTTCCTTCATAGAACCCCAGTAGCACAGACAATCAGAATAACAATGAATAAATGGGACCTCCTGAAACTGAGAAGCTTCTGTAATGCAAAGGAAACTGTCATTAAGACAAAAAGGCAACCTACTGAATGGGAGAAGATCTTCACCAACTCCACATCAGACAAAGGTCTGATCTCCAAAGTATAAAATGAACTCAAGAAACTAGACATAAAAACTCCAACTAACTCAATTAAAAAATGTAGTACTGAACTGAACAGAGAATTCTCAACAGAAGAAGTTCAAACGGCCAAAAGACACTTAAGGTCATGCTCAACCTTCTTAGTGATCAGGGAAATGCAAATCAAAACAACTTTGAGATACCATCTTACACCTGTCAGAATAGCTACAATCAAAAATACCAATGATAGCCTATGCTGGAGAGGTTGTGGAATAATGGGAACACTCATCCATTGTTGGTGGGAATGCAAACTTGTGCAACCACTTTAGAAATCAGTGTGGCAGTTTCTCAGGAAACTGGGAGTCAACCTACCTCAGGATCAAAAATTCCACTCTTGGGAATATACCCAAGAGATGCCCAATCGTACTACAACAGCATTTTTTCATCTATGTTCATAGCATCTCTATTTGTAATAGCCAGAACCTGGAAACAGCCTAGGTGCCCCTCAATAGAAGAATGGATAAAGAAGGTGTGGCAATATACACTTTAGAGTTCTACTCAGCGGTAGAATCAATCACACCTTGAATTTTGCATGCAAATGGATGGAAATAGAAAACACTTTACTGAGTGACATAATCCAGAACCAAAAAGATGAATATGGTATGTATTCACTCATACCATATGAGTGAATGGTGCATATAGAAACAAGGAACAAGGTATCTTAACTAAGGGAACCATTTTAGGGTTGGCAAGAAACTTGGCTCTAGAGGGGATTCCAGGTGTCCACGGGGATGTCCCCAGCTAGGTCCTTGGGTAACAGAGGAGAGGGTGCCTATACTGGCCTTCTCTCATAGCCACACTGATGAATATCTTGCATATCACCAATGGAACCTTCAGCTGGCGATGGATGGAGATAGAGACAGAGACCCACATTGGAGCACTGGACTGAGCTCCCAAGGTCCAGGTGAAGAGCAGAAGGAGGGAGAACATGAACAAGGAAATCAGGACTGTGAGGAGTGCATACACCCACAGAGACAGTGGAAATGATCTAATGGGAACTCACCAAGGCCAGCTGGACCGGGACTGATGGAGCATGAGATCAAACTGGACTCTGTGAATGTGGCTGACAATGAGGGATGACTGAGAAGCCAAGGACAATGGCACTGAGTTTTGATTCTACTGCATGGTCTGGACTTGTGGGAGACTAGTCTGTTTGGATGCTCCCCTTCCTAGATAGACCTGGATGGAGGGGGGAGAACCTTGGACTTCCCACAGGACAGGGAATCCTGACTGATCTTAGGACTGGAGAGGGAGGGGGAGGGGTGAGGAAGGGGGAAGGAAATGGGAGGAGGGGAGAATGTGGAAATTTTTAACAAAAAAAATCTTGAGAACATTAGGGGCAATGGATCATGATTATTCAGGTGGGCAGCATTTTTATTAGAATAAATTACTTGAAAATAAAAATAAAATTGAAAAGCAGTTAAGAGCTACTGCTTACATCCAGGATATGAGAATTACCACTGAACCCATTGTGTTACTGAACTGGTCTTTCAAGTTTATAGGTGTCATAACTGTATTGGACTGTTAGTTGCTTCTCTCTAAGGAAGCTTATGCGTTCATAGGATTTTTAAATTGTATTTATCCTTGCTTGATTTGATGTTTTATAAACGTTAACAAATAAATACAACAACATGTAAATGAGTTCCAGATGCAACATCTCTCTTTAACCCTGCTCAGCTTTAACTAACTAGGAAGTCCAGATTCATCTCTTTTTTTGGGGAGGGGAGGCTAGGACATTTTTAACAGCTTTTTTAAGGTACAGTTGTCATCCAGGAAATTGCACATATTTAAAGTTTGTACAGTAATTTTGACATGGGGTTATGTAAATCAACATTAGACTTACCCAAAGATGATAAATATAGCTAGGTGCTGGGTGTGTAGCTCAATAATAAAGCATGCACTGTAGAAGGCTCTGGAGATAGCTGCTCCACAACACAAGAAAAAGATTCACCTCTTTCTTCTCTCCCATTCCCTTTTTTTCTCTCATCCCCATTCTATTTCTTGTGTTTTCTTTGACTCATTCTTGTTTCCATATTATCACTGATTTCAGTGGATGTTAACTTTTATGTAGAGCAGAATGAAATTGTCAAAGTGATGGAGTCAGGTAAAATCAAGAAGCAAATTCATTTTTTACTACCAGGTTAATTTCCATAGTAGTATAGTCATATAAAATTTAAGTGTAAATGAGTAGACTAGTATTTACTGTGACTAGGACATTACTAAGTTGTCTTGGCTGATTCTGTTCTACAATTGTTTCTTCCCTTTTCATAATAATAGTTTGAGTTAGAAGAATAATTCTTTAGTATCAATAAAAATGTTTCAGGATGACATTTAAAGGATTTTTCAACAGACATTCTTGCAAAAGTTTAAAAATCAAATGTAAGTTGTTTAGTAAAACTGTAATACATGCTTATATGTAATTATATTCCTAGATGCATCTAATATGTTAGCATATTAAGAAATTAAAAATTAATACAAATTTTACACAAATTTGTAAAATTTAGAATTTTTAAAATTTCCATAATTCAAATTTTATACAAATTTGATCTGTGATTCCATAAGTAAATTTCACTTAGGTTTTAATAAAACGCTTGTCACGTTTAGATACATCTTATTATTCTGTTATGTTCTTTGCCTGAGATATGCTACAATTGTTGTCAGCATCATGTTCAATTCATTCAGATTTTGCCTTTTCTGGTATCTTGTGGCTGCCTGCATTCCTATGATGGTTCCTTTCACCTTTTGAATGTTCTGGGAAAAAAAAAACCTACCTTTCTTTATGAATTCTTTTCCTAGGTTAGTCCTCCTGTGACTTGAATATCTGCCTAAATTTCCCTGTTTTAAAGGGACCTGTGATGATGCTGATGCCACTCAAATGACCCCAGTACAATTTACACTCAAAAAATGCAATATGAATATGCTGACAAATTCAGTTTTCTGTGTTTGAAAACTGAATGTGTAAGATTTTGGTATTAAAAGAGTTTAAATTGCTTCTTTTATGTTCTTGGTATTGTAATTACATTCCCTTTCCTTTTTTTCCTTACAAATCCTCCCATATATTACTCTCTCTTTCTCATATATATATATATATATTTCTCATATATATCATATATATATATATATATATAGAGAGAGAGAGAGAGAGAGAGAGAAAGAGATACACATAAACTCATATATTATTTCTAAAAGGAACGTGCTCACATAATGTCACTTATATGCCTAATACAATGATACCTAAGGCCCAAGAACTAGAGGGGAAGAGGGGGTAGAAAGATTGTAAGAGTCAAAGAGTCAAGGGGATTGCTCTAAAATTCTAGGGATATTAGAAACACTTCTAAGTTGTCACCAACATGATAATCTAAAGATGAGCTGAACAAAGCAATCAATAGCCAGGGAAACTCTACAAGTCCTAAACTATACACAAATAAAAACTTCAGGAAACAAGCAACTAAGGAATACTGACAGTGGGAGAAATAGTCTTCCTTAGTCTTTTTTTTTTGGTATGGTCATTGTGCTTATCTCACAAGTTATGTCTTCCATCTTCAAATATTGCCATAATTTCTTATATTTAAATCTAAGCAAGAAGATGACTTTCTACTAATTTCAATGAAGTGCATAAATTGAACAATAAGTAAATAGCAGATGTGAAGGATTTAAGTGCAGTACTAAAATAATAAGTGTCCAGTCTTTTCAGTTAAGAAATAGAATGCTTTGACTCTCGTGTGATGGCACAGGCTAGATGAGGAAGGAAAATTGCCATGACTTACAGTTCACCTGCAATCACAGTAACATTTAATCTCCAAAACATAAACAGAAAAGAAAATAAAAATAAATATTATACTGTAAGGATAATTAAAGCCTATTATATAGCTATGCCAAATCATGTACCTCTAAGCTATTCATAGTTACAAACAATTATGTGGTAAATTAAGTAGTACATATATCATTTTTATTTTACTTTTAGTGCATGCATATACAAATATTAAAGTCTTTTAATTTGTTCATTTTTATTTATTTATCCATGGCAATTTACTTTAAATAGCAAGATTTTCTGGATTTATTCATAATGATATTCATAGACATGTTCAACTTACTTTGTGGTTGTATCTTTTATATGTGAAGGTATTACAACTTGTTTAACTGTTCTTACACTTAATCATTTTTGACATTTTCTTATTCCCTTACTAACATGAACAAAATGTGTATGTGCTTTCTCTGATGTTAAAAATAAAGATTCCTTAAAGACAAAAAAGTATGAAATTTTTAAATGAGATATAAAAATTTATTTTATTCGGAAATAAATATGTGGTGTTTAACAAAGAAGAGTTGAATTTTCTGAAACTGTCTTCTAATGACAAACAAACAGTAGTTTACACTTATTACCTCGCCTGCTGTTCATCTTGCTCTGATGAAGCACTGTCATCACAGATATCAATCGCGAGGTTTTCTACTACACTGAAGAGAAAGAAAATACAAAATAAGTTGTCTATGGAATTTCTAGGCATCCTAGACAGGAAACGTACTTTTAAATCCAGCATGTGTGTACAAGTGAGATTAAAACAGGTATGTGCCTGGGGATATTTTAGTTAGGCATTTGTACAAGCTTCCAGGGTTAAAGTAATTTTAAATCTTTCCAGGAGACAAGCTGGAAGTGAGGATGGCTTTGGCTAGGAGTCCTGAAGTTAGAAGATCAAGGGGGAACCTAAAGTCAACAAACCAGTTTGGGATACATAGAAATACCCGTTTTCAGAATTGGAAACATCCTGCAATCTGAAGCAATAATCCTGGGCCTGAACTACCCTTATGCACCACCTGCCAAGAGATCAGTCAAACTGTCCCCTGGGGTAGGTGCAGCCTTTCACAAAACCCTCTGATTGTACCTAGCCTTTGGGGAACACTGGACTTCAAGTCATCATCAAATTGAGAATCGGGAGAATCCCTCGGGCGCTTTGGAGTTTTGCTTGTAGACTTCTTCTCCTTGGATGGCATGTCTATTGTGCCCCGGTTTTTGTCCCAACTCCTAAACCTTGCGATTGCAACGACATACAAAATTCCCAGTAATTAAATGAGAGTCACAGAAACAAGTACCAGGGTCCATGGGAAGAGAGACAGGGCATCGTCTCTCTGTGCTGGAGCAGGGAGGTTCATGGAAGATTACAACGGTGTGGTACCCTATCTTGTCTCTTCTCCACTGATGAATGTGAAGGTGACTCTGTCCTGCACACCTCCACTTCTACCGCTTCTGCTGGGTTCCTGCGTTTGGAAGGGAGTGGGGGCAGGCAAAATAGTAGCCTAAAGACCCATCTCTGGCCAGTCCTGGCCTAGCTGTTTATTTGGTGGCCATCTTGGAGTGTGGTGCACTGTATTTCCTTTATTTTTGCTTTGGAAAGGGCAGAGGGAGTGCACCCATGACCTGTGACAGTTGGCCTTCTCGGTGTACTGCTGCCATCAAGCAGCATTGTTTCTCTGCCCGCAGCTCCCCAGTGCTTCTGCTGACATGGCTGAGGGCTGGCTAAAGAGTAGCTCCCATAGTGCCCCCACTGTGCCTAAGCCAGTCTCCTGCAGTCTCTGTGACCCATGAGTGGTGTGGGAGCAACCGGACCCAGGGGAACTGCGTATCCACCACAGTCCTTGGTTTGCTGGGCAAGGGAAGCACAGCCTCTCAGGTTCTGAAGTCACCATGTCTGGCAGGGTTAGAGAACCACCCTGCAGGGGATTCTGCATCCTGGGTTGCCTCTGGGTTCCTTTGGAGACCTTGTGGAGCCTGCCAGCCCACATCATGTGCACAAGCCCGCCCAGGGAACCTCTAGCTTTTGGCAAGTCTCCCTAGCAGAACACACAACTCCTTCCCTGAAACCACACACACAGCCCAGAATATCTGGCCAGGTGCTCAGGGTCTCAGGGCCAGGTAACCATTATGGCAAAGTGTCTGTCATCCACATAAATCCCTCCCTGTCATCCTCTCTCCTCTCTTTCTGCAGGGCCCTCCTTTCTTTCCTTTGCTTTCTCTGAGAAATGGCCTTCCCCTTGAGCCATGCTGTGCTTGCAATTCAGGGACCTGTACCTGCCAGAAGATGTTTCTGATCTACAGCTACATCCCCAGAACACTACAAGGGGTCTGAGAGAAGGCACCTGCCACCAACATCATCATGTACCTCCTTCTTGTGTGTACCTAGTGGGTACCAAGCTCAATGCGGTGTGGTGGCTTAGGGTGAATCCAAGTAGAAGTAGCCAGATCAGGATGTGGAATGTAGGATGCCCAAATTGACCAGGCAGGCCTCTGGGTACCATCCAGGCCAGGTTTCACTGCCCTTGCCACCCCTGACAAAGCTCCTCTCTTTGATAAGGGGCACCCATGCAGGTGGCATATACTTGCTGTCTGCTGTCTAGGCCACCCTACATAATACCCAGGGAGAATTCACAGGGTCAAGGATTCAAAAGCCCCTTCTCCTGCTCTGTGTTGTCTAGGCATCATCTCAGCTACAAGAATATGATGGGGGAGAGTCTTCTGTTTTGTATTAATTTCTTTGGTTAAATACATACACTGCCTTGGCCCTAATAGGACAGAAAATTAGGTAGGTGGAGTAGACAGAACAGAATGCTGGGATAAAGAAGCCAAATCAGGCAGTGGCCATGATTCTCCCACTCGAGACTGACGCAGGTTAAGATCTTTCCAGGTAAGCCAGCTCGTTGTGCTACACAGAATATTAGAAATGGGTTAGATCAATATGTAAGAGCTAGCCAATAAGAGGTTAAAACTAATGGGCCAAGCAATATTTAAAAGAATACAGTTTCCATGTAATTATTTCGGGTAATGATGTGGGAGTCTGCTGTTTTGTGTTGATTTCATTGGTTAAATAAAGAGACTGCCTTGGCCCTTTAAGAGGACAGAAAATTAGGTAGGCGGAGTAAACAGAACAGAATGCTGGGAGAAAGAAGCTGAGTCAAGGAGTCGCCATGTTTCTCCCACTCCAGACAGATGCAGGTTAAGATCTTTCCTGGTAAGCCAGCTCGTGGAGCTACAGAGATTAGAAATGGGTTAGATCGATATGTAAGAGCTAGCCAATAAGAAACTGGAACTAATGGGCCAGGCAGTGTTTAAAAGAATATAGTTTCTCTGTAACTATTTCGGGTAAAGCTAGCCGTGTGGGCAGCCAGGTGCCAGGGACGCAGCCCACCGCTCCTATTACAACAGGGTAAAGCTAGCCGGGTGGCAGGAAGCAGTCCACAGCTCCACACAATAAGAATACTCAGAGAAGGCTCTGAAATTAACAGAGGGTAAGACCTAGCCTCCTTGAACTTTAAACTCGTGTGTGTGTGTGTGTGTGTGTGTGTGTGTGTGTGTGTGTGTGTTTGGTTTATACTTTATCCCTGGCTTGGAGACAAGTCCTGGGAGAGACCATAAGAAGTTCCTCAGAGGTATGTAACAGTTCTGTTGGTCAGCTCAGGGTTAAAGACATATGGCACATTGGCACATAAGTGAAGACTTTTAAGGCTCCATCCTTCAGTTCCAGCTCATAAGCATGGAGTGGTCCAGTACATGGTGCATGTTTGTGGGGTGGCAGGTATATTTACATGCAGCTTGATGGATGAGAGAATTTTGTAGGAATCATATGGAAGTGGCAGTACCCTCGTTCTGACTGGCCTGCTTGGCATTTCTAGGAACTCAGAGCCCACTGCCCAACACAGACACCCCCCAATATATCCTGACAGACACACACAGAGGATAACTTAAGCTAGATAATCCCTCAAAGGCATGCACATAGGCTCCTTTTATTTATTATAGGTCCTGTTGGCAATCCACATAAAACATCACATCATATAAAGTAAAATTATCAAAGAAATGCCAGATCTGGACTTGATGATACATAGATTAGATTTAACACATACCTAGAGACTACTTTAGTAAATTGGAAAGGCATACACATTCTTCTTGGCACCCCATGGAATCTCTTTTTTTTCCATTTTTTTTATTGAGAAAAGGAGAAAAAAAAACAAGTTTCCACCCCCTCCCAGCCTCCCATTTCCCTCCCCCTCCTCCCACCCTTCTCCCCCTCCTCCCACCCTTCTGCCCCTCCCCCCACTCCTCTCCCTCTCCCTCTCCAGTCCAAAGAGCAGTCAGGGTTCCCTGCCCTGTGGTAAGTCCTAGGTCCTCCCCTCTCCGTCCATTTCTAGGAAGGTAAACATCCAAACTGGCTAGGCTCCCACAAAGCCAGCACATTATGTAGGTTCAAAACCCCGTGCCATTGTCCTTGGCTTCTCATCAGCCCTCATTGTTCGCCATGCTCAGGGAGTCCAGTTTTATCCCATGCTTTTTCAGTCACAGTCCAGCTGGCCTTGGTGAGCTCCCAATAGATCAGCTCCACTGTCTCAGTGGGTGGGTGCACCCCTCGTGGTCCCGACTTCTTTGCTAGAGTGGCTCCCAGATGCCCAAGCCAAGGTCCCCAGTTAGTTCCTTGGGCAGCTGAGGATGGGGAACCTGAAATGACCCTATCCTATAGCAATACTGACGAATATCTTGCATATCATCATAGAACCTTCATCTGGTGATGGATGGAGATAGAGACAGAGACCCACACTGGAGCACTGGACTGAGCTCCCAAGGTCCCAATGAGGAGCAGAAGAAGGGAGAACATGGAATCTCTTTTAAAATATACCACATGTGTTGGTTTTCTCTACAAATTAAATCTTAACAAATGCAAAACAATACAGTTTGAGGAAATAAAAGTAAAAGTTAAAAAAGCGCCGAAACTATACAAATATGCAGATGATGAACATACACATACTTTATGAGGCTTAAAAGTTAGCAAAGTGATATTCATTATGACATTTTTATTCCCTCCCTTTTATTATTTATTTTTATGTGTATGGGTATTTTGCCTGCACATATGTCTGTGCACCACATACATGCCCGGTGCCTGCAAAAGTCAGAAGAGGGTATCATATCCCATTAGGAATGGAGTTACAGATAATTGTGAGCCAACATGTGAATCTGGAAATCAAACCCAGGTCCTCTGGAAGAGCAGCCAGTTCCTTTAACTGCTAAGCCATCTCTCCATTCTTCCCTTTTCCATGTTGTTCTTACTCCTGTAGTGACATCCTAGATCCCATGACTCCCTCCTACTGGTTCATTGCTTCTCTCAATAGTCATCCTTTGCTGGTGTGAGTGAGTGACTTGTCTCCTACAGTCTCAGGCATTTCAATACTTGGTCCCTAGTTTTTGGCTGTTTGTGGGTATTTTAGGAGGCATGACATTTCTAAAGGAATTATGTCCCTAGGGGTATGTTGTTTTGAAAGCTGAAAAACTCACACCCTTTCAAGTTCACTCTCTCAGTCTCTTACTTGTGGTTTGAGATAAGAGCTCTCAGCTCCTATTCCAGGTACCATATTTGCTGATTGCTGCCATATTTTCCCACCTTGATGGACTCATTTCCCTCTGGAACCATAAGACAAAT